GTTATCTTTACACATTTGCAGATGCTGCTGCAAAAACAGCAGTTAAATTGAAAGAAACGGTAGATAGCAAGTTGGAAGAGGTGATTTTTTTAGATTTTTTAAAAGTTTTTATATATCACATTTAATATAAAAAAATTAATAATAACCAATTTTTTTACTTCCAATCAACTAATCATTCAATCAATTAACTGATAAATCAACTAATTTACTTCCAAAAAAGCAGGAATCACCATTTAAGTTAGGAGTCACTAGGAAACAAAAAATGTTATTAAAGAGCAATTAAATGGTTGACAGAAAACTTCAATATCACAAATAATTTTCATTGTTAAATATCAGAAGTAAATTGAATTAAATAGGGAACATAACTTAGTTAAAAATATTGTTAATTAAAAAGTTTTAACTTTATACTCCTGTCTTGACAAAAAGTCTTCTCTTTTTGAACGCTCAGGATTTAAAACTAGGTCAAATCTAAACTCACTTTTGTAACAGATTAGGACTTGTAGTGACTTGTGAATTTCAACTCCAACAAAACTAAGTTATCTACTGTAAACAACTATTGCAATGCTGTTGATATTCCTATATTGATGAATGGCAACCCTCTCACTGACTCCTCTTCTTGAATTATCTTTCACTACTGAACTCTCATAGAAACCATATATACAATCAATTGCTAAGTTAGCATCTGCTAAGGTAGCTTCTCTTTATCGTTATTCTTCTAATGATGCTCTTCCTTTTCTAGATAAGGTTCAAAAACCATTGTTAATGTAGTTGGACCTGCTTTATCTGCCAAAGTTGAGCTTCTCTCCCACCTTCATAAAGTTACATCTTTTTCTCTATTTTACAAATATTTTCACGGTTGATGCTTAAAGGAGCTATCATCTCTAGTTCCATCAACCAAAACTCATTATCACTTGACTCATCAATCAGCAAAATCTCATCCTTTTACTGTATCTGTCCCTGCATGCTCTAAAAACTTTTATTTATCTAGTTTTTTTTTTACACTTCAACTCTATGGAACTCTCTCCCATTTTCATGTTTTCCTGGCTCATCCAACCTGCAACTCTCTAAGTCTTCTGTCAACCATTTCCTTGCTCTTTAACTTTAATCTTTATTTTCTAGTAACTCCCATCTTAATAGTGGTTGCTTGCAGCCTTGTTGGGAGTAAATCTGAATTTAAAAAATATATATTTTTAGGGTTATTTTTTTGGTTGGTTTTTTTTTGGTTGGTTTTTCTTCTTGATTGAAAAAAATGATTTGGTTGATTTGTTTCTAATTAAAGTTGGCATTTTAAAACTTAAAGTGAGCAGAATATATTTAATACTATTTAAATATGAAATTATGGAAGAGTTTTTAACCAGCTTTTTCTGCTCTTATCCATAGTTAATTTATGGGGTTTTATAGCGAAGTCTTCCTTCTCTTAGTTTCCTTCACTGCTGTTAAAGAGCCTCATCTGTCCTAATATCAGATTTGTTTAATGTCATGACCAAAATTAGCAATTTCTTGCACAAGCAATATGTTTTAACAGGTATTATTGGTTTATTCACGGAAAATCCTTATGCTACGTTGTTGGCTTTATCTGTTCTTCCTCACTTCTTGCTCTTGTTATAATTTGTTTCACTTTTTTCTTTGAATATTTTTTGCAAATTCTTTATTTTTACCATTGAGTTTATTTTCTCTAAAAATAAATCTGAAAATATTTATTTTTAGAGTTGGAATTATTCTGCATCAATGTGTGTTATGTTGAATGTTTTTTCAAGTTCGTCTTCAAATGTATTTTGCTACATCTTTTACTGGTCTTGTAAGTTACTTATAATAAATTTTATTCAGTCTTAGTCTTTTTTCCAGAATACTGAAACTCTTACTATTGTAATATTCAAACTTTCATGCACTGTTTTATTGTTGACCTTTAAATGAAAGAACATTTTCTGTTTTTGTGATAGAAGTTAATAGTCATCAATAGAGTCAACTGTGAACAAAGTAAATCTTTGTAGCTAATTGGACTGCCAGTTATAAATATGTCAACACTATTAACTTATACTTCCACTGGGTATCCACTTATTTCCTGGGTATCCACACTAATTATGTAATTTTCTTTTTGGTAAATTTTTTTTTTTTCAAATAAATAGTTTTGTAATTTTCTGCTGAACATTTTAATTGTCAAATTTCTAACAGACTTTAGGATACATGAGTTTTATAATTAAGTAAAAATAATAAAAATAAAATTAATAATAAAAATAAAATACAGATTTCACGCAAAAGTATAATTGACAAAACATTGAATAGAAATATTTGTCAAGTATGTAGTTTAGAGTGTTAAAATTTTCTAACAAAACTACAAGTTTACTATTACAAATATACAGTAACTGTATACTTCACTGTTAAGTATAATGAAGCATCCATTTATGACAGAATATTAGAAACTTTTTTTTTTAAAAATTTTATGAAATAAAAATCTTAATAGCAAATATATAATGAAATATCACTTAGATCAAGAAGTTCTACTATGAGATTGGTCATATGACTTACCAAATATCAATCCAATATCTAAAAACTCAGAAGTAAAATTTCTAAGGAAGCAAACATTGTAAATTAAAAAAAAATAAATAAACCATTGATTTAAAAAAATGTTATTAAACTCACAATTTTTTTAATTGCACAAAATAAAGAAAAAGATCAAATAAATCAATTAAACTAATCTGGTTAAAAAATATGTCTTGTTTAAACAAACCATTTTTTTTTTTGTAAGTATTTTTTTTTATCTTCACTTCCAACAAAGTTGCAAACAACCACTATTAAAGTTGGAAGTTACTGGAAAAGAAAAGATGAAGTTTATAAAGCAAGATAATGATTAACATATGACTTAAAAGATTGCAAATTATATGAATCAGGAAAGTAAGATGAAGGAGGCGAATTCCAAAAATCTGATGTTTAAAGAAAAAAACTAGACAAATAAAAAATTTTGGAGCACTTAGGAACAGTCATAGTTAAAGGATGAGACTTTATTGAATGACAAGTAACACAGAATGAATATTAGTATATGGCACAAGAGACGCTAGCACTTTAGAGCAGAGCTCATTGTAGTATTTATAGAAAAGAGAAGTAACATGATGATGTGATACAGTCTTCTCTCCGTTTAAAATTTAATGGCAGCGCACAAAAAAGCACTAGCAAGATGGTCATATTTAAGTTAGCCTGCGCGATTTAAAAAGTTATTTTTTTCCTGCTATTTAAATTAAAATAAAAATAGCGAAAATAATGCTTTGAATAAATACTAGTTAAAATAGTTAAAAAAAAAACTGGTAAAAAAAAGCCTTTTTTTTTTTTTAAAGTTTTCGGCAAGTGCTTTTTTATGCGCTTGCCAAAGTATTTGTGAACTGTGGGTGAGCGCGAAAAGACTTGAGCGCGAAAGCGCTGGCTAAACGGCTAAAAATAGTGGCTACAACTGTTGATAATGGTTGGAGGTTGGCTGCAAGAGAAGGCTGCAAGAGCGGTTGTGCAGGAGGTTGGCTATAAGAGTGACGCTGGCTACTGGCTAAGACTGTTGATAATAGTTGGAGGTTGGCTGCAAGAGGAGGTCTAACTATGTTTACAATGCGTTTTTGCACCTTATCTAAAAGAGAAAGAGAATGATTAGAATATCCGCTCCAAATATGGTAACAGTATTCCATACAAAGATGGATTTGAAATTTAAAGAGATAAAGAGTTTGGATTAAGAAAGTGGCAAGCACAATAATTAGATGCAACCTTAGTAGATGATAATTTTGCAATGGATTGGAAATATGGTTTCCAAGAAAGATCAGAAGTAAGAGTTAATCCTAGAAGACGAAGGGTAGATGACTCATTGAGTACATTACTGTTTATAACTATAGGAAGATCTAGATTGATGCAATAATGATTAGTTGAATAAAGTTGAGTTTTGTTTGAGTTTAATTCTACCAGCCACTGAGAGTCCCATGCTGTAGCAGAAGTAAGATTCTTTTCAAGCTCAAATACCCCCTCCAAGCAATCAGAGAGTGTTGGTTTCATATCAAGATAATTATAAATGCTAGTATCATCAGCTAGCAATTTCACCTTAGATGTGAGAATTTCTGGGAGATCGTTAATATAAATTAACGGTTTTGATAATGTAAGTTTTTAGGTTCAAGATGAGAAATAAAGTGTTTGTTAATAAAAAACTCAAAAATCTTGCTTATGATAGGAAGAAGACTAATGGAACAGCAGTTAGACGAGTCAGATCGCTCTCCGAAGATTTTGAAAATAGGGATAACAGATGCGGCTTTCCAGCAGACTTAAAAATAAGACTCTGATAAGCACTTGTTAAATAGTTTTGAAAATATAGACGACAGCTCCAAAGAATGCTTTTGCAAAACTATAACAGGTGTATTGTCCAGACCACATGCCCTCCCAGAGTCTAAGCAGGGAATCACTTTAAATACAGAAACAGGAGTATTGCGAATATCAAACAATGGATCAACCTGTTTTTCGGCTATATCAGGTAGGATGTGATTAGTGGAATCAAGAGATTAATTTTTTTTTTTTTAAAGATGATAGAGCAAAATGGTGCTAAACTCAAGCACATAAAAGAATAGTTTATGGATTCAAACCTAGTTTACCGACAAATAAGTGAATTCTTATGAATGTAAATGCCCAGGCAAAGTATGTGACTATTGGATTCTTTACAAATTCAAGAAAGATAACCATCAACACTAAGGTCATTAGATGAGACAGGCGAGTTCAAATTAGTCTCGCAAGTAGCATGTAGGTCTGGTGAATTTTGCAAGGGGTAAGAATGACAAAAGAAAAGATACTTTGAAGACCTCGAATTTTAGTGAATGATAGATTTAGAGAACTTGGTGATAACAATGGTTTTTTGTGTTTTATAGTTTTTGGTACTTTAGTCATTTTTAAATTTGTTAAAGAACATGACTCAAAGCACAGATAATACTCATTACACTATCTAACATTCCAAGAAATTGCCTGATTACTATTATTAAACTCTAATGTTACCTCAACATAGCACACCAAGAGTGTGAACAGGGACACCATCCATGCGCAACATGGCACTGTTAGTACTCTGATATTTTGCAGCTATTGATGGAATCGGCCTCTTTCTGAGAGCTACCACAGAATTTAGGAAACCTGGCCACATCCACAGAACCGTTAAATGAATTTTAGAACTGTACCCTCATTAGGAGATAATGAATGATTTGCCTAGTAATATAAAAGAGACATAAGCAAAATCCAAAAAACAAGTCAAAAAGATCCGATAAAATTTAAATATAAAATCCGATTTGAATTCTAACAAACCAGACCGGATAACCGGTTTTGGGTTAGAACTTTTAACTATGGGTGAGCAAAAAGCTCACCTATAGTTAAAACCATAGTTACTCACAATAGTCACCCTTAGTTAGCAAAACCATAGTCACCTATAGTTAGCGAAACCAGACTGGATATCTGGTCTGGTTTTTGGTAAAATCCAAATCCAAATTTATCAGGATATCCGGTTTTGCTCACCCCTACTCAAAATAGTCTCATGACTATTTAGAGTTCTTCACCTTAGATGCAATGATAACCTTTTTTTTTAATGACTATTTTAATTATTGTTAAATTTAGAGTTTTAACACTATCATTAGAGTGACAATGTTAAGAATTTTATGAGCTAAGGTACCACTACCATAATTTAAAAATCATTTTTAAAATAAAAATGTGAGCTTTTTACTTTTTAGGAAACAAAGTAGAGCTCTGGATATTTTAAATATTTTTATTTTTAATTATTTATATCAAGCTAAATAAATTTATTATAAAACTAATTAAAAATATAAAATTTTTATTTAGTTTTATGACATACTATACAGTTAACTAATTATTATTATTATTTTTTTTACATAAAAATAATCTCAATTACTACAAATAAAAGTAACAACTGTTACCCAAATAAAATTTACCATATTCTGTAATCAATCAATCAATATGTCCCAATGCTGAATGTAGTTTTAGTTTTTAAAAATAAACTCAAAGTTCAACTTGTTTAAAAAATCTATAAACTAGTATAATTTATGTTTTAAGTTGGTAAAAATTGTTTGTTATACAGTGTGGCCTTTATAATTTTCATAAATATAAAAACTTTGTTGATTCCTAGTAAAATTTACAAATGTTTCAAATCAGAATAGAATTACTCATTTCATGTGTTTTAAATTTGTAACAAATAAAAAAATGTGCTCTTATATGTGAATATATATATATATATATATATATATATATATATATATATATATATATATATATATATATATATATATATATATATATATATATATATATATATATAAGCCTTCCCAGGAAAGGCGTGCAGTTTTTTGTCTCGTACGACCATGAAAACGTTTTTCAAGTTAGAGAACGTGATCACAGCCGTTTGCGCAAGTTATATTATATGCGTTACTGATAAATTGTTTAAAATTTATCAACTATATAAGAAATTAAAGTAAACTTGAATAGAAAACAATAATAATAGTTTAAATGATTTGTGTGTTGTTTTTATTTTTATTTTTTCTTAGTGGTTATTATTATCGGCTACAAAATTCATTAAGTCAAAGCAAAAAAAAAAAAAACTGTTTTAGGCATTAAAAAGGATGACTTTCCCATATTTTGTGTGTTTTTTCTTTTAAAGAGGAAAGAGAAAATAAGTATCGTCATCTGTTTGTAAAATATATTTGTATAATTATAATGTAACAAGTTTATATCAAGAATTAAATTATACCATCGCAATATGCAATCTCTGGTAAAATATTAGGTCTTTAA